ATTGAATTTCGGATTTGGGCAGTATCGGACTCAATCGGACATTTCGGAAATTTTTTGTTGAGGCGTAACTAATATCGTCTAGATTTCGGATTCGGATTGGGCGTAGTAATCAGGTTTCGCCCGAACTTTTACTAACGATCTTTTAATATAATCATGAAACTATTGATGACCTATTTTTTTGAAGTTACTAACATATTATTAATTAGTAGTGAATATAATCAAATATATTAATTTAAGATGTTTTTCAAAATTTCTATATTAGATAGTACTTAATGATGTATATACTGGCTAATAAAGATTGTAACAAAATTTTATTGTATTGTATAAATAAAAACGTTTTAATTATATTGAATTTAATAAACAACTAAAAAGTAATCTATTGAAAATATAATTTGAAAATAATAAATAGAATACCTGATTCACAATTGCAGACTACTAGCAATATTTTGCCATTTTGTAAAGAAACTGCTATATTTTTTGTAATTCTGTCTAAAGAGTTTATTTTTTCAGTCTCTTTTGAATCATAATTTATAATGAAGGACCCAGAAGAATGGCTTAAACATTTCGAAACAGCAGCAACTGCTAAAAATTGGACAAATCCTAGAAAAAGTAGCATTATCGCTGTATATATAAGAAGCCTAGATGCTCTGTGATTTGACAATGTTAAAAAGTATTGAGGTATTGGAAACATGATGGTAATAGAGATACGAGCTTTGTAGCTTTATGTCGACGACGTTTTGCAATGCAAGAACCGCAGAAGTGGGTTCATATTATAAAAGATACCTTCCCAACCATCTAGTAATGATGCAATTAAAGCTTTAACGAAACGAGTGGAGCAATTTACCTTAGATTATGCAAAAATTGTAAATGTTATATACAGCTCAAACAGGAATTTCAAACCTAAAGCCGCTTCCACCATAAATATATCTTTGACATAAAAATTTGCGGTTAAAGTTAATAATAAGCAAATCAATTAAAAAAAAAAGTAATTTACTTTAAAATATTTTTAAAAATTTTGGCAAAATATTTGGCAACTTGATGTGATATAAGAAATTATTATTATTATTTTATTATTATTAATCAAAGGTTCGTCTTAAATATGGCGAACGGTAACATAATATATTTGCATGAACACGGAATATTTTTATGTTTTGGAATTTCCCAACTTCAATTTTAATATCATAATACTCATTATCTTCCAATATTTCAATATAATTTTGGCTTAATTTCAAAAAATACTGTGATGACATCATTTTTTTTTAAAAAAATTCAGACGTAACTATTTTCTCTAATATACTGCCAGTCGTAAACTGACAAATAAAGGTGTTTTAATAATAGATGAATATTCCTTCTAAAACACAATGAATAAATTTACTTAATTCATTGTTAAAATAATATTTATAATCTCATCAATTACACGGGTAGGGATTTTAATCTATTCAAAAAAGTTAAATCTATTTTAGAATAGATTAATCGAACCACACCGATTTTTTTTATGTCAAGTTTTTTCGATTATTTCGATTTTTTAGTTTTAAGTTCAAACAATTTGCGGCGCAGCGATCAAATAAAATCCTGAGCTTCTTTCTTATCTATTCGGATTTGTTTTACCCCAAATGTGTTAATTTCTGAAATGCGCAATTGAGATATCCCAAACGCGAAGATTGTTAGGGATATTCGCTTGCCCCAAATGCGCATTTATCCCGAATGCACGTTGCACATTTCAGATATCCAAATGCCAATGTAAAGTGTGTTTACATTTTTATTTACAATTTAAATAAAAATAAAGTTTTATAAATAATTTAAATTTGCCATTAATTTATTTTAAATAAAATATATAAAATACAAGACTGCCATTTAATAAATTCAAATCATTAGTGGTCATTAGTGGTCATTTAGGACAGTCCGAAATGAGTCCGAATTTTCCCAAATGCTCATTTGGGATATCCGAAATGAGCATTTGGGACATTATCTGAAATGTTAATTTGGGACATTGTCCGAAATGCGCATTTGGGATATCCTAAATGTGCATTTGGGGCAAGCGAATATCCCAAGCGATCTCCAAATGCTCATTTCGGACATCAACGCATTTAAGGTACAACAGATTCATAAAAAAATTATTTTTTTTTGATTAACTCGATATTTTTTAATTGAATGATCAAGTGAAATCACTTTTAGCCAATAAAACTGACAAATTTCGATGCGCCCCTAAATTTGGTTTCATTGTCGAAACTTCAAATTTTTTTTAACGTTAAAAAATTGTCGAATAAAAAATATATTGAATGGTTAGAAAAATCTATTGCTAATAAATATGTCAACCATTTTTGAATACTCTGAATTTCAAGATTTTTCAACTAATAGGAAATGGTTCATTTGGAGAAGTTATGCACGCTTATTGGAAAAATAAGGGCTGTTATGTTGCTTTGAAATCTTTTAATAATAATAAAACGATTCTGAAGAATATTGTAAAGAAGTACAAATATATATTATAATTATTTAAAATAAGATTTATTAATTAGGTAAAATGCCATATAGATAAAATTACATAAGGAAGTCGATTTCATTCAAATATTATACGAATTTTTGGAATCACAAGCGAAGAAACCTTTAAAATGAAAAAAATTTCAAAAAAAAAGAATTTAAAATTAAGAGTATCAACATTATATTTCTAAACAAAGTTTAATTTTATTATTGAATAATTAATTAAAATTTCTATTATTTGTTTCTTATACCTAATTAAGTTGTTTTCTAAAAAAGGATTAACTAATTAAAATTTAATTACTAATAATATATGTCATAGAGGATAAAAGTTTAGCCAAAATTACTATGACAAATTTCGATGCGCACCCAATTAAACTTAAATTCTCCTTGTCCAAAATTATAATCTCGGAACTTGAAATATTTTTTAACATAAAAAAATGTCGAATAAAAAATATATTGAATGGTTAGAAAAATCTATTTCTAATAAATATGTCAACCATTTTGAATACTCTGAATTTCAAGATTTTCGACTAATAGGAAATGGTGCATTTGGAGAAGTTATGCACGCTTATTGGAAAAATCATGGCTGCGATGTTGCATTGAAATCTTTTAATAATAATAAAACGACTTTAAAGAATATTGTAAAAGAGGTACAATTATATGTTATAATTATTTAATTAAATTTATTAATTAGGTAAATTTGTTCTAAATGTCATATAGATAAAATTACATAAAGAAGTCGATTTTCATTCAAATATTATACGA